TGCATTGTAAATTTTGGTCAATGACATGAGACAAAGTATATGTGAACTGCTATATGAAAAGTGAATTTACTCTGTAAATCTTCACCCAAATCCTAATAATAATAAAAAAAAAAAGTTGTGGTAGAAAAAACCTGGGAACCTGGGATAGAAGGTGAAGGTGGGATTTAGATGGACTTTTTTTCACCCCCAGTGGTGTTGCTAGATTACATTTACTGAAAAGTAAAATCAGTTGCCCGTCAGATACTCTCAAACATGTTAGAAGTTATACTGAGTGATATTTACAGGGAAATTGGAAAGCTGCCTGCTTATTAGTGATTCATTTTTCATAGATCTTACAGTGACTTGGTGTTTTTGTAATTCTTTGATGGTTTGCTTTGCTTTTGAGGAAAATGATTTTTGAAAGAAAATAAAGTATTTTTATACTGCTGCTCATTCTCCTTATCCTTTTCTTTCTTTGTGCTTAGATACCAGATGATAATTTCAGTATTCCAGAAGGCGAAGAAGATCTGGCAAAAGCAATTCAGATGGTCCAAGAACAGGCTACAGATACTTCTATTTTGGTGAGAATTTTGAGTTTAGCCCATTATCTTTATGTATGAAGTTTTGACAGTCATTCAGACTTTCAGTTTTTTATATTACTTACTACATGCAATCTTGTTGCCTTCTATGTTTTTATATTTGTTATCAAGCCTTCACTTTGGGTAAGCAGTCAGATTTACTCTTCTTTGGATTATCGTTCTTTACATTAGGGCCACTCTTGCATGAGTTTGCAACAAGTGACACTTTACCTTAGCACTCAGCTGTTTAATCTCACTTGCATTACCCCAAGGATTTTTACTACTCATGCTATCTGGCAGGGTTTTCCAGAGAAACATAACCATAGGATATGTGTTTGTGTGTGTATGTGTGTGACTTACTTTCAGTTGTTGGCTCATGTGATTGTGGAGGCTAGCAAGTTCACATCTGGAGATTTCTGAGGCAGCCCCATATGCTGCAAAGTCAGGCAGGAGTTGATGCTGGAGACTTGTGTCTGATATTTATAGGGGAGCTGAAAACGGGAGTTGACACTGCAGTCTTGAGACAGAATTTCTTGTTTTCTGGGAAACCTCAGTGTTTTGCTCTTCAAGCCTTCCACTGATTGGATTAAGTTAATTTCATTTATTGAAATTCAACTGATTGTGGGTGTTAACCACAAAATAACCTTTACAGCAACACCTAGATTAGTGTTTGACTGAATAACTGGCTTAGCCAACTTGACACATGAAATGAACCATCATGACTCAGGCACAGAATTTAGTATTTTATACAGTTTCTAAAATCTGTTTTATAAACTGATGAAAGAAAAGCGATTGGAATGAAAAAGGAAAACAAAAATTTCTTGTAGTCTTTGCTGAATGGCTGTATGTTGGGACAGTTTTTAACCAGGCTTTCACTGACTGGGATCCACCCCAAAAGCCAGCTTAATACTACCTCAGGTCTTTCTGGGCATCTTCTGTCCTAGGCATGCATGTGGCTCTCTGAACTATAAACTTACTGCCCTCAAGTCAGTACCAACTCATAGCAACTCCATAGGGCAGTTGGAAGTCCCATAGGGTTTCCAAGGCTGTAAATATAGAGCAGACTGGCTCATATTTCTCCTGCAGAGCAGCTGGTAGGTTTGAATTTTTGGTGAGAAGCTGAATGCTTTAACCAGTGTATCATTGTTTGGGTGTCTTTAAGTGCTCCAGTTTTCCAAGAAAATTATTTCCTCAGGGTTTTCACGGCAGCATCTCAATGCCCTTCTTTGCCGCAAGTGGTCACAGGCTTCTTAGTTTAGCTTACGGTGCTTCAGGCTATATGCCTCTTGTCTTCTCTGAGCCACCTCCAAGATGAAGGCAAGTACTTTGCTTTAGTTGTTTTGATTCAAATAGGCAAATGATAGACTTTGTTAATAAAGCACTTTTTGTTCACTCTAGCTTCTGAACTTCTTTCCAAGTTCAGAAACTGGAAACACTGCTGTGGCTTTTATCTGGTTGCTGGGCAGGATTCTGAGGTAGTGCTCAACTTAGCATCAAAAGAAAAATAAAAAGAGTCTGAGTCTTCCTATTACTCAGCAAGGCTTCGCCCAGCTGCCATGCTCCCCATGCTGTGTGCCAGAGTACCCACAATGCTAGGAGCAGGGGAGCGTGGATCTTCTTCCTCTGCCATCTGGTTCTGTACTAGTGTTGTCAAGGAATATAGTAGGAAATAGTTACTTCTTATGAGATTGCCAAGTAAAAGTACATAAGATCGATGACATTCTTGTAAAATTGAAAAACCATTAAAAATTGACAATGATGATAGCAAAAATATTTTTAAAAGTGTGTTATATTTTTGAGTCATCATTAGGTAAGAAGGATGCTTTTTTCCCTCAATGATGAAACCTTTTTATACTGAGAAATGTGAAGGAAATTTTGACATGGGCTTTTAGTTACAGATTTGAGGTCCCCAATGCAAAATACTGTATGATGAACTTTATCCTATATTCTGTCCTATGTTAACTATTCAGCATTTTATTGACTTCCTCAGTCTAGAAATCCTGTTGTTCCTTTCCAAAATATCTGGCCACCCAATATTGAGAAAAGCCTCGAAGGAGGATATCTTACAGCCAGAAGTGATTACATTCTGTTAGAAACAGAAGGTTACAACTCATGGAAAACTGCGTTCTGTAATGAATTTGATGGGTAAAGTTCCTTCTATGTAGACACAAAGGGAGGTCTATTGCATTCTTAAAAAAAGGGAAATCCTTTCTCATAATCAAGGTGTAGACTTAGTAGTTTGTTGGATATCTCAATATAATAATTTATAATAGGCTTAAAATATAGTATTTTGAATGAAGTGCAACTGAAACTTTTATTGTTATGCTCATCTTCCTCCTTGCTTTACATCATTCATTATAAAAGTTTTTTTTTTTTTTTGTTGTTAAATGCTTTGTGTACTATTTATTTGTATTGGTACTTGGTAAAGTTATATGCCCATCAGTTCTTGGCACTCAAAATAAGCAAAAAATCCATTGGTCTTAAAACATAAAACTTACTTCATTTGAAATTTTCATTTCATCTTTTAATTCATATTAAGTCAAATGTACTAGATTAGAAAACCTATAGACAGGGTTTGGGGGTCAGCCTATTTCTTCAATTAAAATTACTCAACTCTGGTATGTAATGCAAAGGCAGCCATAGATAACATGTAAATGAATGGCCATGGCTGTATTCCATTAAAGTTTATTTCTAAGAACAGCTGATCCCTGTTCTAGTTAATAGGCATTTTATTTCCATTATGAAGCTGTGGTGCAGGCCCCTTTCCCTTATACAATATTTCTTCCACAGTGTTTCTAAAAAAATGTATGTACCATAATTGTTGTAATTCTTCATAGAATGATAATACTTAAGGAAAATTTAGAGATTCATACTTTTTTTTCCCTCTTTTCTTTGATTTGTTATATGGTATTGAAAGGGCAAGCTGGCTTCCTTACTGTCCTTCAAACAATCCGATCACACTCATATTTCAGGGCATTAGCTCTTGCTGATCCATATAACTTGAACATGACTCAGTCTACCTCTTCATTTAGGTTTTTGTTCATATACAGTTTAATCAAGGAGGTCTTCCTTCACCACCCTACCTGTATTACAGTCCAGCTTCACATATTTATCTACCCGGTCTTCCATAGTCTCTGCTTTATTTTTCCCTGTCCACTTAGTACTATCTGCCATATGTATTTTATTTATTTATTCATTTTCTATCTCCATCCACTTGATTATAAGTTTTATGAGGACAGAGATGTGTCTATTTTCTTCTCACTTTACCTTCAGTGATTAAAGTAGACTTTGGCACATAGCTCTCAGCAAACATTGTTGAAAAAAATGAATGAATGAATGACTCAACCTTTAATATGCTCAAAGGAAATAATAGCACATTTAAATTTCAGGAGCAGAAAACAATTCTTCCTTCGAAGCATGCAGTATCTGAAGTAATAGAAGACTTTCTCTGCAATTTCCTGATTAAAATGGGAATGACTCGAACTCTTGATTGCTTTCAATCTGAATGGTAAATCATTAAGTGAATAAATAGTAGTTTGATAGAAATGCTAACATTATTTAAAATGTGAACTTTTATCTGTCTTAAAAGACTTTGAAGTGACTCAGTTTATGCAATATGATTGGAAATTTTCTCATCCCTATCTATTCCTCAGGCTATAAACATACATACACATGCATAAATAGGATAACTTACAAATAAATTTTTATTAAAGAGCTTTCCCAAAGGCAATATACCAAAAACAAGTGACCAGTACAGTATCACTAAGGAAAAAGAAGACATGGAGAGGGGCACAGAGGTCCAGACAACAAAGTTAAACACTTTTACATACATAATACTGCATTATCAGTAATAACAGACATTAATCTATGGGTGTATACATAGGTAGTAGACAGGCTACATGATCAGGTATGGCTAGGGAAAAGGGGATATACTCATGACCACATATAAATTTGTTGGATGATATTTCTACATAAGTATTTGTATGTGCTATAAGAATGTCCATATAAATTAGAAATACCATTTGACCCAGCCATCCCATTACTAGGTATATACCCTAAAGAAGTGAGAGCCATAACAAGAACAGATATATGCATGCCGATGTTCATTGCAGCACTATTTACAATAGCCAAAACATGGAAACAACCTAGATGTCCATCAGCTGAGGAATGGATAACCAAACTATGGTACATACAC